AGTCTCCACCGGACTGGTAATGCCGGCGATGTGGTTGAGAGAGAAGCGCTGGGATCTCTTAGAGTCTCGCTTTGTCCTTGGGGGAAAGGGCTGGACTCGGAGATCTCTCACCTAATTGTAAATATTGTATTTAAGTATGAATGTTTTTCTATTTATTTCTATTACTTATAATTTATTTAATTTTGCTACGAATTTCTGTATTTCATTTAATTAACTCTTAGTTACATTTCCTAGTTTATTATAGTTTTTGCCTTTGTTATATAGATTTTTATATTTTTTATACTTTTTATTTTTTTATTTATTTACTTATTTATTATTATTATTTTATTTTTTTTATGTATTGTATATATGGTATGAATGTGCCTCTCTCAGCCTTAATACTCAGTGCCCTTAATTGTGGCAAAATGTATTATTACTCAATAAACAGATAGATAAAAAAAAAATTTCAATTTATATTTGGAAAAAAAATTGTATAGTATTTTCAGTCGCTTGTTTATAGTCTTTCTTTTCATTTCGACGTGTCTAATATTATTCGATGATTCTGTCGAATATTAGTCCACAGTAATGAACTGTGTCTGAGAAATTTTGTTCTTATTTCGTAAATTTTTGTTCTTATTTCGTAAAATATTTCGTAAATATTTCGTAAACAACTTTATAAATTTAGTAAGAGATTTTATAAATTCAGGTAGGCTATTCTGAGGTTGCGGTGTTTTGTTAAAATTGTTTAATCATCAGCGTCAGTAGCGATCATTGTTCGGAGTTAGGTTCAATTAAGGAGGCCGTATTGATTCTTGACGTACTCCTGCCAAGAATGGTCCAATTGCTAAGCTGATTTCTATGAAACTTGCAGGCTTCAGGGGAAGGAGAAAAACGATATAACTGTATTTTATATATAATTTTCTGCTTAATGCTCAAATAAAATCATCCATAATGACCTTGATGTACCATATGTTTCCGATTTAGCTCAATCCAGATACCTGTCCTTTCATAATAAACTTCTGAACCATCCGAACCCTCTCGTTTCCAATCTTGCTTCTTCTTCTATTCCTGATAATCCTCCGAGGCGTCTAAAAAGAAGATGGCCTCGGGACCTTCTAATATAGAAATATAATTGGAGTGCTACCAATGGGTAGTTTCTCCTCATGTTGTACATGTCATATTACTTGTTCATATTTACTTGTTGTATTTATTATTAATTACAATTGTAAATTTCGTTAATAAAAAAAAAAAATATATATATATATATATATATATATATATATATATATATTATATATATAATTTTCCAATGGCAAAAACACTTTTTGCGGTAACCTGGGTTTGACTTGATTGATTTTATTATAAATGCAGACAATTTTTTTTTTTTCTGATATCTAAATATCTTCAAATAACTAGATCAATTATTAAAAATAATCATAGAGATATGATTGGAGTTAGTTTATTAAGTTTGTATTAAACCATTAAAAACACTAAGTCCCAGAACGTAGCAGAAATTTCAGATACTATCTAAGCCTCAACGGTCTTAACTTTGAAATTGAATATATAGTTAATTGATGTTGGGGGAACTAAATTAAATTATTATCATATAAAACTACTTAAATGACATTTAACCATAAAGGACTACAAGGTAAACTTTTCGGACTAGTTTCCCCACCCCACAAGGCAGTGTCTTGGGCCCAGTTCTCTACATCCTTTTCACCGCTGACATCCCTTCAAGTCCTGATACCTTCCTAGCCACATTTGCTGATGATACTGCCATCCTATCCTCTCACTCGGATCCTCTAATAGCGTCTCAGAACCTGCAAAGACACCTCTCCTTCATTGAACAGTGGTGCAACAACTGGCGCATCAAAATTAATGAATCAAAATGCAAGCATGTAACTTTCACTCTTCGACGCAGATCCTGTCCGCCAATCCTTTTTAATTCAATTCCTCTTCCCTACTCAGACACAGTACGATACCTTGGCTTCCTTTTGGACAAAAGACTGACTTGGAACCCACATACGAGACTTAAAAGACAAGAGCTTAACCGACGATTTGGGCAGCTATATAGACTACTAAACAGAACATCTCATCTCTCAACAGAAAACAAATTATTAATCTACAAGACCATACTGAAACCTACCTGGACCTACGGACTTGAACTGTGGGGGACAACTAAATCGTCGAATATCAAACGCATCCAATCCTTCCAGTCCAAAGTCCTTCGAACAATAGTCAATGCTCCATATTATATCACGAACAAGACCCTACACCATGACCTTAACATCCCATATGTCCATGACATCATCCCATCCAGATTCTCCAACTTTCACCAGAACCTCATTCATCATCCCAATCCTCTAGCGCAATCCCTATCCAGCTCCGAGCATCCATACCATCCCCCTCGAAGGTTGAAACGGCAGAGGCCTCGAGATCTTTTGTAAATATGCCTATGGAGTCCTGGCAATGGCAAGCTTCTCCACTCATGTCCTGAGCGTCTGTGGCTCTAGTGCCCTCTTTCAGTCTCCACTGGCTTCTAATACTAGTGATGCGGCTGGAAAAGTGGCGCTGGGATCTTCCGGAGTCTTGCTTTGCCTTCCACGTGTGGGGGAGAAAGCCTGGCTCGGAGATTCTTGGGCGAATGTATATATTGTATATAGGTATGATTGTGTTTAGAAGTTTTTATTTTATTTTATTGTTTTAGTTTATTTTTATTAACCTTCTTCACCAGTATTATTTATTTACTTCTTATATTTATATTTATTTCTTTATTATTTGTATATATTGTATGAATGAGAACTTTTAGCCCTAATGCTTATAGCCCTCCAGCAGTGGCTGATTGTATTATTATTCAATAAACAGATTAAAAAAAGTTTCCCCACCAGTAGTGGCGCCAGAAAGATTTCTATCCAGGTTTGTAATATTAAATAACCTGTTATGTGATTTTTACTTTATATTGGACAAAATATATATTATGAAATTAACAAAAAAAAAAAAAAAAAACTGTACCACTATAACGCATTCTTCATGGGGTTCACTACTATGTAGGAAAGTGTGTTTCTTGGTCAACAATTGTGCACCGAGATGATTGGACCGAGATTACGCCCAACCACCAGGTTGATCCCCCTTACTCAATTATTTTCAATCACATGTACGAACGAGGCTGGATGTGCCCAAGGACGTTCTCTCCACTCCAGAGAAGATGAACGGCCGAGGAACCAGAATCAATAATTATCTGCCATCGATTATAAAATATCTGTAAGCAAATTATTTGTCAAGTAAATTTATTTCAGAAGTTATATGACAAACTAGAACAAAAGTATATACGCTGTATTTAAAACAAATCTTGATTTTTTTAATTTATGTTTGCTTCTCTATTCTGACAAACACAAACAAACCTTACATGTATTAATGTGTCTCTCGTTCAGCTTTTCTCTGTGCGTAGAAATTTCTTTATCTTACGAAATTGTTTTTAACTCTTTCCTTTTCCCTATTTACTTTCTTTTCGTATCGTTTATATTCTTGGTGGAAGCCGAATTTCGATAAGGTAAATGTTGTTCTTCTTTCAGAATCTACGCCTTAATTGACTGATTTTGAGTATTGTTTTTTAGATATTCATTTTGATTCTTTACAGATCTTTTTAGTTAAATATTTTATAAATTTAAATAAATATTTTATATATTTAAATAAATATTTTATAAATAAATATGTTTATAATTTTTAAATAATTTATTTTGCTAATGTATACATTTTTAGGCTTCGTTAAGGATTTCCTAAAACAAACAAATAATTTTATTTTATTTTTTTTGTTTTATTTTGTACCCAAATTTTCTCAAAAGTAATAAAAAAAAAATACAAGAATACCGAATTGTTATTATTCGCTTAAATTCTTATATATTATTATAGTATACTAAAAAACTAAAATCAACAACAGTTTATGATAGCAAAGTAAATATTATAAATGTTTATTAATGTTGATAACTTTATAATTAAGCATGGATAATACTTGATAAGAATTGCGATTATGATTGTAATTAGGTCATCGTGATATATTTAGAAACAAGAATAAAATGTGTGTGGTTATTTATTTTTAGTTATTATCATTAATTATGATTTTGACCCATATCTGGTTAACATAAACGCACTCCTAATGAGTTTATCTTACCACTTGTAGTGCATATGATCAAGCCAACTGACTTCCTCTACTATGTTGTTTCTATTTGGTAACGCAAGTTGTCTTTCGAGTTGTCGGCAGTTTAGAGGTATAAAAAAAAAAAAAAATGATTCCACAAATGTCATGTGTAATTTCTCGAAAACTTTCAAATGACTGTATAAGACGTCAGCGAAAAATAGCACACTTTCGAGATATCAGGAAATCCAATTTTAGCAACCCTCGTGACTTCTTTCCCAGCCCCTTTTCGGGCAACTACATTAAATAATAAACTTTAAAGGGATCGAGGAGAAGACTGTCAAAGTTTCATCTGATTGGACCTTACGGTGTATGCGATACAGGTCTTGCTCCAGTTCATCAAAGAAATTAATTTTTTTTTTTTTGCTTTTTATCTCTGATCGGTTTCATTTAGAGTTGTATAAAATCAGTAGGAAAGTCGAGTGAGTGGAGGCAGAAGATTTTTAATTACGTGGCTAGTATATTTTGAAATAGATAGGAATAAGGGTACATAAATATAGATATCTTATAAGCGTGGGTTAGCAAGAGACATGGATGGCACTGTTTCCCTTTGGAGTACATGCAATATTTACTACCTGTGAGGAAGACGGGTGGGTCTCCATCCCATCGAAACTGGCCATTCCGCCTTGAAGTGTCTTGTGCCTCGTGTCGTGTGTTGTGCATTTCTCTTGTAGATGATTTCCTTTTCTATATTTTACATCTAATAATGGCTCACCTTTACAGTTTTCCTGTATTTTGTTTCAGGTCTTCAACGTGCCAAGACTTTGGAAGTGACACCGCCCTTTCTTCTTTTGACGCTGAAGAACTGACGGCATCTCCGTGGTAAGGCATGGATCCGTCGGAGCCTCCTAGCTTGAGGCGTCGAGCGAATAGAGACGAGGATCCTCTGGGACTGAGAACTCCTTCAGACGCTGTCGATGGAAGGATCACCGCACCCATCACCTACGTTTGCAGATTCTGCGAACGTATATTCAGCGGTTTGGAAGACGTTTCGGAGCACATGGAAGCCCACGACAGGAGGAAGAGCTTTGAGATGGTCCGAGCGAAGGTCCACGGCCGACAACGAGGACACTCATGCCATATTTGCGACTTGAGTTTAGCATCGATGAGGGGCGTCCGGAAGCACATGGCTGTCCACAGGATCAAGGATGTGCAGAGCGCCAAGTCCGAGGGGAAGCCCCGTGACTACGTTGAGAACGGCACTTAAATGTTTCTTTAATATGTTTAAAGAAACATTTTTGGGGGGTTGATGTTGACTGCCTGCACGCGGTGCCCCCTGCGTAATCTAAACGATCAACGATAGCTCACTAAATAATTACATCTCCAGAGAAACTGGCCATTCCGCCTTGAAGTGTCTTGTGCCTTGATAAGTTTTTTATATTGACTTTTCAATACTCTTTTATTATTATGTGTATTGTTTTACTAATGACTCTAAAATGTTTCTTTAAACATCGTTTCCTCTTCTCTCACGGCGCTACAGCCTATCATATGGATTAACATAGTAACGTATTTTTATCAAATTTATTCTACTTTAATATGTTTAAAGAAACATTTTTTGGGGGATGATGTTGATCGCCTGCATGCTGTGCCCCCTGCAGTAATTTATGCTGGAGTAATTTATGCTGGAGAATGTATAAAAAAGCTTACAATATCATTCTTTTTGTATAATTCATAGTAATATTCTTTTTAAATGGCGAATGTTGATTAAAATAATCATTAATAATAGATTTTTGGAGTAGATGTTTTCGAATACCTAGACAAAAACACGTTTCAAAATAACGCCAGTAGGATAAGTAAAATAACTCCTTAACGTCCTGTACTCTATTGAGGCAAAAATGCTGAATCGGTTTGGGCGGGTTATGAGAATGGCGGACGACCCGTGGCATAAAATTATACTTAAGGATGTACTATGGCAAAGGAGGAAGAGAGGTTGAATGGAAAAGAGATAGATGGAAGGTATATAACAGATAATAAAAGAAAGAGGATTCCTAGAAGAAGTTTGCTGTGATAAAAAAAAAAAAGATGTATGTGGTTAAACATTAAACTATTTTAAAATATATAAATAATTTTAATTTTTGCCGACGTTTCGACCCACTTTGCAGGTCGTCTTCAGGGCGTAGGATGTGGCACTGCGGCATGTGATGTGGCATCCTACGCCCTGAAGACGACCTGAAAAGTGGGTCGAAACGTCGACAAAAATTAAAACTATTTATATATTTTAATATTTTTATTTATTTGACCGCACTCTCGACTAACTCCTTCTCATATCATATCAACGGTCAACCATCTCTACATCATTAAACTATTTTAATATGTAACTGTTGCTATTAAAGCAATTACAAATGTAACACTTTAATATTAACCCCAATTGATTTTTTTTTATTATCCCTAACGCCCTGTAATACCAGTACAAATCATTCTCATGTTTGTTAACTTAATCGAAACCCTTTATTAACTTACTTAATTTATATTATAAGGCTAGAAGGAAAAAAAATTAAGTTTTATTACAATAATAAAAGGTCGAGTGGTTGGACGATTAGGTTGCTAAAATAGTTTGGCCAACTGGATTGAAGGGCCGGAGAAATGAAGGGAGAAGCGGAACGCATATTGGATGGGAAAATAATTTCAGCTATCTCTGGTAATGACGGTAGCAGTGCCGCCACGCTGATTCCCACTCCTTCCGCGTGGTTGCCCACCCAGCTACCCTGTTCGACCTCCCCTTTGACGGCGGTTAGGATTTTTACCCGATTTTACGGCCTGGTGAAAAAAATATGGAGTACCATTACTGCTTTCCCTTTCTCCTTTTTTAGGTTGATTGTTTTATTAATGAAGGAATTATTATACTAACATGATATTTTTTTATTATTATAGATACTATTACGGTGAAAGAATTGTTTATTATGATGCGTATAATTTTTATTTTATTTATATGATATTTACAATTGTATAAAAAAAATAAATCTAGTAAATTCGCACAAGGATATAATGACATGAAGCACATGTTGAGAAACTACCCATTGGTAGCACTCTAATAATATGTCTATATTAGGAGATCCCTCGCGCGGGCTCATTACTCATGGGGAGCGTCCCATGGGTGGCGGATGTGGGGATGGTCGGTGGAAATTCCTTGGAAGTTCCTCCCGGCTAAGTCCGATGGACTCGCTGACCAACAATGAGAGGGGCCCTCCAGACTTGCTGGAGGGAGGGGCCCTCCAGACTTGCTGGAGGTAGGGGCCCACCAGACTTGCTGGAGGGTGTGACGTAGGATTGAACGCCCTACTCACATATCTTTAGTTCACCAAACACCACAAATAGTCATGAATCTCCCCAAGGTAAAACGCTCATTATCCGGAGGTAAACTAGTCCCCCGTTCGGGTCTCCGGGTGGGGACTGCTTTAGGGGATTCATGGCGCAAGTTGAAATATAGGGATTTAAATATTGGTACGTGGAACGTAAGGAGTTTAAACACAGCAGGGGGGCTAAAATCGGTCGCGAATGAGGTAAATGGGTACAATTTGGATGTCGTGGCTCTGCAAGAGGTTCGCTGGCCAGGGGAGAGCTCGATAAGAGAAGGAAAGTACACTATTTGGTACGGAGGATGCGGGAATCATTGTTTAGGTACCGGGTTTCTAATTAGGAGTAGATTACTATCCGCTTTGAGGGACGTACAATTCTTTAGTGATAGAATTTCGGTAGCTATATTTCAGGGACGTTAGTTTAAAATCGCATTAATAAACATACATTGTCCGACCGAAGACAGTGACGATGGAGTCAAAAGTGAATTTTACGATAAACTCGAATGGGTTTATGATAAACTACCGCGAAACTACATGAAAATAATTGTAGGTGACGCAAACGCAAAGGTAGGAAGGGAAGAAGTTTATATTCCGACGATTGGTAAAGAAAGTTTGCACGAATATAGTAATGATAATGGGATCCGTCTGATAAACTTTGCCATCTCGAAAAACCTGATAATTAAAAGTACGACGTTTAAACATAAGGATATTCATAAATATACTTGGACATCACCGGATTCGCAAACACGAAATCAAATCGATCATGTCTTGATACAACACAGCTGGCAACGCAGCATAATTAATGTACGGTCTTATCGCGGAGCAGAATGTGGGTCGGATCATGAATTAGTAATCTCGAAGCTTCGACAAAAACTTAATATAACAAAGAGAAAAGAAACCCGTTTTGATTTTGAGAATTTTAATTTGGAAACATTAAAAAAACCATCAATTAGAAACCAATTCGAGCTAGATGTTAAGAATAGGTTTGAAGCTTTAGAGCTCCCTGACGAGGACCACGAGGATATTGACAAGTTATGGGTAGAGATCAGGGATAATATTAAAGAGGTCGGTAACTCGTGCCTAGGAAAAAAGGAAAATAAGAATAACAAACCGTGGTATGATGAAGATTGCTTAAAAATGTGCGAAAAAAGAAAAGCCGCTAAATTAAAAGCTCTAAATAACCCTAGCGAAGACAATCTGGAATACTTCCGAACCTCAAAGAACGAAACGACAAAATTGCTCAAAAATAAAAAAAGGGAGTATCTTAAAAATAAAATCATTGAAATATAAACTAATTGAATCAAAAATAACGTAAGAGACATGTACAAAGGTATAAACAGATCACGTAAATGTGTAGGGCCCGTAACGTCTGGAATTAGGGATGATAATAACAATATTCTGACCGATCCGGTTGACATATTGAATAAGTTTAAGGACCACTTTGACAATATTTTAAATACGGGAAATTATGATCTGTGTCCTCCTTCTGATACCAGAGTGCTGAACCGATAATAGAAGGACCAAGTAAAGAGGAAGTTGAAGTAGCTATCGGAAAATTAAAATCATATAAAGCAGCGGGAACCGATAATATTACTACTGAACTAATTAAGGCATGCGGGGAAGCTGGAGTTTCTAAAATACATCGGTTGGTTAAAAAGATCTGGGTGAACGAGAAATTACCTGAAGAATGGAAAGAATCTATTCTTATTCCGATTCACAAAAAGGGTCCGAGGACGGATTGTAATAACTATCGAGGAATTTCACTCCTTCCGGTATGTTATAAAATATTCACTTTAATCTTAACCAGTCGAATCACGGAATACGCCGAGGAAATTATCGGAGACTACCAATGCGGATTTAGACGGAATCGTTCGACAATTGATCAAATATTTTCTTTACGGCAAATATTAGAGAAAAAATTAGAGTATAACGGTATTGTTCACCAGCTGTATATAGATTTTAAAAAGGCTTACGATTCTATTGACCGCCAGAAACTGTATAATATTCTAATCGAGCAGGGGATTCCAAAAAAACTAGTAAATCTAGTCAGGATGTGCTTGACGGAGACACTCAATAAAGTTAGAATCGGTAATAATTTGTCCGAAAAATTTGAGGTTCGTTCGGGCTTAAAACAGGGGGATTCTCTTTCGCCTGTCCTGTTCAATTTGGCATTAGAACATGCCATTAGGGAGGTAATGCGAACCGAGAAAGGGTTGGATCTGGGCGGGACAACATCCGTGCTGGGCTATGCTGATGATCTGGTACTGTTAAGCGAAGACGTTGAAACTATAAAACTAAATACGACAACGTTAATGAAAGCCGGTAAAGAACTAGGACTCGAAATAAACGTGGATAAAACAAAATATATGGTTAGCTGCAAAAATGGCGATACTACTGGTGATATCGATATAGATGGTAATATGTTTGAACAGGTAGATAAATTTAGGTATCTAGGTTCTACGATAACTAGAAAAAACGAAATTGAAGAAGAGATTAAGGTTAGACTGAAGGCGGGGAATGCTTGTTATTTTTCTGTGACAAAACTACTTAGTTCGCGCCTCTTGTCCCGAAACTTAAAAATTAGAATCTATAAAACAATTATCTTGCCTACAGTTCTTTATGGATGCGAAACTTGGCCGCTTACATTAAGGGATGAGCAGCGTCTTAAGGTTTTTGAAAATAAAGTATTGCGTAGAATATTCGGACCGAAGAAGGATGAGTTAACCGGAGAGTTCAGACGGTTACACAACGCCGAATTGCGTGAGCTGTATCCGGGTAATATAATTGAGGTAATTTCATCGCGGCGAATCAAATGGGCTTGTAAAGTTGTTGGGCTTAGTAACGAGAGAATTCCTAAAAGGTTAATATTTGCTGTGCCGAATGGTAAGCGTCCGAGGGGTAGACCGAAGCG